CATTTAGTCAGTTGTTTATGATAGTTACTTTTTTATATTTATTTTTGCGAGTTACACAAGCGCGTTGATTCGCAGTTATCCCTCTTCTTTTCTAAATACAGGTCACTACTAAGACCTCTTTTAGTAACCCTTCCCCCAAAAAAGTTGATAAGTTGCTGTTGTTACACTGCTAACGTCTTTTGTGGGCGCCGAAGTCGTTGAGCGGGAAGCGAGTCGACCTGTTTGCATAATATGCCCTGTTCAGAAGATGAAGATGCCATCACTGGAACAAGACATTTATTGGCCTGACGTTTTGGATTCTCACTCGAATCCATCATCAGAGACAGTCGCAGATAAAGGTGATGGTGGCACAATGAGTGCAGTATTTATAGCACGTGGCTGCCTTGGGACCACATGCGTACTGTTATTAAGAGCTCTCGCAGTCACCGCCGGAGTCGTAATTAATGCGGTGGTGGCTTGTCAGTCCGAGTCGTTAATGGCCGTGATTTCGTCATCCGTGCTGGATATTGGTGTGACGATGGCTCGGCAAATTGGCTCACTGTCACTGTGATAATTGCTATCACGCACCCTCCCCACGTGACTGATTCCCTGCCTAGGGAAAATCTCAGCACTGAATATGGTACCGAGAGGTTATTGTGATTGTTGATGGATTGCGGGCCTGAGAACCATGACTCGAGCAGCTTGCGGCTCACGCAGTTGTCACCCCTTGCGAGGATTTCGGCCTCTTGAAATTTGAAAATATGGCCGGGTCCCGTCGAATGTGCCGCCACCTGAGAACTAGCGTCTCCTTGCCTCACTGCTGTTTCGTGCTCGGCAATTCGCGTACAGAGTAATCTCCCAGTTTCTCCGACGTAGTTGCTTTGTCCGCAACTGCACCAGATCCGGTAAACGACTCCAGACGTTTCCTGCCGTGGCAGTGGGTTTTTCAGCCCCATGACTTGGCACCTAATGGTTGCTTCCGGCCTGTGTGCAACCCCAACTCCTAATGGAGTGAGAAGACGATTGACGGCTTCGGAGACGTTCTTCACGTACGGAAGAGCCCGCCAAAATTTAGGGCCGGCTGGATTTGGTCTCTGGTGTCCTTTTCGTATGCACTGGTTGACAAAGTTGCGCGGGTAACCATTGGCTCTCATTACCCGTTGAAGATATTGTAATTCAGCAACCTTGTCTTCCATTTCACTGCGGTGCGTCTTAACGCTCCGGTATAGCGTCCTTACGCAGTTGCGTTTGTGACTGATAGGGTGGTTGCTATTGAACTGTTATCCGGAACTCGCCTGTTCGCATCTATCAGCAATATGCCCTGTGTGTTGTTGGGTTGCGGGCTCTCTCCTCACAAAAGGCTGCTCAGTGGATGCGCTGTTGCAAAACGGGGGCCAGGGCGGCTCATGACACGCGTGAGGGCCTACAGTCGCTGTCGTGCAGGCGTGCGGTGGGACGGCCTAGATGTAGGCCTACACACTGCGCTAGCCATTACACCCAGCCCCCTTTCACCAGTTGTCAGAGGGACTCGGACGGTCGACCTGAGCGTGGGAGATGGAAAAGAGAGAGCGAGAGAGTGAGACTGACACCCGGGTATCCAAGATCACTGCACATCAGTGCGTTCATCGGCATGATAAATGTGACGAGCTCCAATATGTCACGACGCTCCAAGAATAGGGGTTTGCGAGGTTGACCACTGAGGAGGTAAGTCGGTCCTCCCTCTCCTGGCAGAGACAGGCTGTATGAATGCAACTTTTAGGGCACTTATGCGTGGCAGACCCGAGCCGCCGTTGCAGAATCCCGTTACACGAGGTGGGGACCAGATAATGTGTGGCACGCGTAGTCGGGTCGTTTAACTCTGTCGGCCACTGCGCACGAACGCCAAGCAGAGTGGGTGGGGAAGGAGAGTGAGGCAGGCGCTGCGTAAGTTTGAACCGCTGTAGAAGATCCACATGCAAGTCACCAGTGCTCCGCTCAAACTACCGTGTCAGAGCCCTCAAAGTTGAACTAAGGTACTGTTACAAAAGCACTCTACTGCTGCTCCTGCTTAACTAGCAGGACCTTGCCAGTACTTTCGAGAACTTGTCGGACTTGTCTACGCGTTTGGTGGATTTTAATTCGCAGTCTAAAACTTGTGGTGCTAGGATTGTAGAAATATCAAAATATTCATCCGGTAACATCGGTCTGCGTTTCCCCTTATTTTGAGATTGTATAGTCCGCAGGACGGCGAGATCCTAAAGGGGAGGCGGGTATCTTATGGAACTAAATCTCAAACGGCTGAGCCACATCTGACTGATTTTTGCCATGGTTTGGAAAGTTTCCCTAAATCCTGGTCTCTGTCGAGGTAGTGTTTCGACTCGGTGTTAACCGAGGTACTTAACTATACGCATTCGGTTTGACCCCCATGATTACTTTGAATTGTGTAGTTGTGGTGGTGGTGGCTGAGGCCCCTCAATCCCATTCCGAGTGTTCCTCTGGTTACTGTTGATCTCCATCCAAACTTCGTTCCGGATACCCTGAGATTTGCAGGTGAGGTTTAACAGCTTCCGCGAGGGGATGCCAGGAATTTTGACTCTGGCGGCAGTGCCAGGTGGTACATCTATTTGGCAAGAATGGATTCTGCATGACGGCTACCCATCTGCCTTCCGCTGTTTGGTAGCTCACATTCAGGTGATTGATCCAATCAACGATTAGGTCACAAGTAGAAGCGCATGGTTAAATTAGCCAACATGACGTGATATTATAAGGAAAAACAGGGCCTGGAGGTTGTGTAAAATGCGCCAGACTGTAGTGAGTCAGACGACTGGAATTTCACGGCAAAACAGACTCGATGGATGATCTGATCATCTGCAAGAGCTCGATCTAACCCTGCGGATGTAAACTGACCTGGCTGCCAGCTGCCCCAGTAGGTGGAAGACAATAACTAATGCAAGAATAAGTGCTTTCTTGACTGCCCTCTTACATGCCATACGCGGATAAATCTGCAGACAGGAACAGCGAAGTTGTGATTGGCGGTTGTATCTATAAAATTATTAAGCCCTGTACCAACTATCCTTGGTAACTATGGAGAAGATTCTTGGTGGGATTAGGTTTGGAGCTGTCGGTAGAGGCGAACAGGTTGACTGTTTTCCCAAAAAGCTCGGTTACTGTAGTGGGCGGTGAGCAGGAGCATTATCACGCAAAATTACGAGGTCGGTTTGGTGTCTGCAAGTGCCGTTGTAGCCGAAGACATCCTTCGCGATGTCGATGAACACTTTACTATCGACCATTACATTGGTCGCCATGTAAATTTGATGGCCATCCGAACCGCACCAGCCGTCAACAGTTCTCGCTAGTCGCAATGGACGCAGTGTGCCAACTGATAAACAATCAGGAGCAGTGTGCAAAGGCTGAGCAGGACGTGGAAGTGTGGGGCGGCCTACGTTGTAGATCCTTTCTGTGTCACAGCGTAGCCTCGGACTCTTTAAATAAATCAGCCTGCGGAGGACGATAAAATCGCAACGGGAGCCTTTGAAGCTGTCCCACGCGTGGCGCGAACCGGTCTGTCAGGACCGCAGGGTGGAGATGGGCGCTTTCGTCCTGCCCTGGAGCTCTAAACCCAGCAACCCTGTGATTCCAGCGAAGAGCCATGATCGCATGTGGTCGCTACGCGCTTCTCCAAGAACAGGCTAGCTCTCTGCGACTTATTCCACGGCGCCGCTATTTTAAGAACGTGACAGAACATGCGTTGGAACTCATGAGACGTCAATGGACACTTTCCGATAAGTGTCTAGTCGCTTAAAGTCGGACCTAAACTTCCAACCACAAACTGGGTGCGTTGTGTTGAGTTTGAACGCACCGAGGTAGGAAGCCAATCCTTCCTCGGCACACGATATACCATGTGCACATCGTATCGATGGGTCACATATGGTTGTTTTTCGAGGTCTGGAAAGTGGACGCCTAGTCGTGATCCTTGTGGGACAGGTGGTCGACTACCTGTTCGAGAAAGCATAGACAAGTTTCAAAAGTAAGATATTACTTATCGGATTTAGTGTGGAAATACAGCCTTGAATTACGCAAGTCGAATTGCAAGAAGAGTCAACTCAAGACTTCCCGAAAGAAAACCTTAAGGCTTGAAGCGTCTGCCTGTCGCTGACCACGTACCGAACGTCCACGCTTTCTATCGACTGCTCGCATAAGGACAAACACACAGCTAACACGGGCGATTACTACTCATGTGTAGGTTTCTATGGTGCCGGTTGTCAGGACTGCCAGCATGACAAACAGCCGTACAAACCACAGCAACCATAATCGAAGGCTAGGAAGAAAAGCCCAGCAGGCAAGACAATATCTATGAGTTCCCAATCAAGGCGCCTGTTCAAGGCCCAGGTTTGGTGTTTCTAGACACCTTAGGGTTCACCGCAGTGTCCAAACGACAAAACCACCCCTGAAAAGCAAAACACAACCCTCACTGAATAATCCTCTTCAAACAGCTCTCACTGTAGGACCATTATCCTGTCTCAGTTAACTCTGTTCGGACACGCTCGTAGCCACGTAAATTTGCGCGTCACCAGGACACAAAGTGACTGCCGGGGGCTACAAATGAATACCAACTGTGACCGCACGTTCTAACCACACATCGGACTAACTAGACATGTCGAAATCCGTGGCTTGGGAGGTTGTAGGATGGCGTAATGCCACAGCCACAATGCAATGGCCCCTTATTAACGTGCCCTCCATTGCACTCGCGTTCAGGTGAGATAGTAGGTTTCCTAGGAGAACCCGATACGTAAAGATCAAGGCTACAGGTCGTGTGTGGCGCGCGTAGACGGGCTGGCTACGTCTGTCGGCCACCAGGCCCACTTTCGGGCAAGGGGATTGGTGTATCGCACGTCACGAAAGTCATCCCGTGTATTATGCAGGACAGCAATGAAAAAAATCAGCGCGTCGCATGACAGCATATTATTCACGTTCATTGTCAATAAAGTAAAACAAAATATAATGAGAAGCCCCGATTATCACAGTAGTCCGCACGGATCAAATTAGTTCAAGAAGTCTTCAAGAACAGCTTTACAGAACTGCTTTCGCTGAGGATCCCCCGCTTTCAGCTTAGGTAGAATTCGAAGAAAATATGGATCCTTCTCAATTTCAGCAAGATAGAAGGGATCAAATTCGAAATGTATTCCACTGAGGAGGGCTTCTCCTTCACCAAAACGACAACGAATTATGGCCGGAGTTCGCAGGTCGCTGCTAAAAATAGGAGGAGATTACGGGATGGAAATTTAGTGAAGTTTTCTAAAAAGACGAAAGACTAACTTTCTGCTGGCTTGTCATGCGAAATCACCAAAAATAGCAAGATGAAGCGCGAAAAACGAATTCCCTTTAATACTTCTGAAACAGGAACTTTAAGTGGGGGTTCATCAAGAGATCACTCCTCGAGGACGCCTTTCAAATTTGAGTAAGAGCACCAGCAAGCCTCCATGACGGTCACAATAAAGTCGACAATTCTTGAAAAATTCTTAAAGGCCTCTGCATAGCGGTCGTGATTTGACCGTGTACAGCCCTCATAATTGGAGCTGGTTGATGGAGCTTAGGTTCAGTGCTCATTCTTATAACATCGTGTGAACTTGAAGTAAAGTCCTGCGGACAAGTCCGTTCAGGTTCGGTTTGAATGTTGGCGTGGATAATTCAGTTGAATTTTATCAACTTCCGCGGAACAACTGCGGACAACAATCGGGAGGTGGCACCCAAAAAAATCCGTTACCTAGAAATAATACCTTTAAAAGTGGACTCAAACGCCTTCAGGCTATATCAGCGGTTGCAGACCTACTTTCACGCACTACTTGGACTTTCCCCGACGGCTTAACATGGGCTGGCTGAACGAGCATCGCAGGAGGTTACATGGACAATGGTCGCTGTTACCGAACCTTCCCCATCGTTACACACGTACACCTGAATATACGGCATACATTCGCATTATGGCAGTTTATTACAAAACAAAATCACTTTTAAATAGGATAAGTCTGCAAAACATGGGGCAGGAACAGTTCTCAGGCATCTGTCAAAGACATGGTATTTAGACCAAACCAAAGACGGTACTGTACTTCGTCTATGTGAGCCCACAGAGCTCGACAGGGCCTCCCTCGTAGAGTTTCCTTTTCAGTCTACTCCAGTATGCCTCAATGGCATTGGTGTGCGGTCTGGTGGTAGTCCTTGAAGTTCTTTGAGTAGTCAACAGAGAAATGTAGATAACCTTCTGAGGGAAGATGATTATACGCCTCCATTCGTCCGTTACCACTATACTGCCTTTGGCGATCCATTTTGTAATAACGGAACGGAGAGCGGGACAACTTCGCTCATTCACCTGTTCAAATAAGGCTTTCCGTCGGCTAGTATCGTACATCCCGACCAGCCACCATCCATAAAACCCCTATTACCACCTGTCCCGTAAGAGAGGCTGCTTTGGTTAGGCGGGTTTTTTGGGTGCCATCTCCCGATTGTTACCCAACTGCGTGCTATTCAAAATCTGCCAACGGACAGCCAGTGCTTTAACGGTGAACAGTCTGCAATACGTATTTCAACAGAAAGTCAGCTATTGTTATGCCGAGTCTATAGTTTGCATGACCATCGCGTGCCTAACAGAGTAGCCACAGGACGACTTACGTGTAGATTAGTTTATAATGAGGCAGACTTGCTAAGCATCTAACACACTTTCCCCATCCCTCACCCACCTGGCTCTGGTGGCAAGATAGTGTAAAGACGACCGAATATGGTTGGCTCGGACGCAGTGTCTGACAGCGTCTACACGTGCCACACACAAACTAACCCCCACAGCATTTAACGGGTATAGATGCAGGTAAAACTTTAAAGGCTATGGCGAATCACTCGAAAGTAGAACATACCTGCATTTAAACAGGCCAATTCTATTAAACCACCAGAACACAAAAAATGCTGACAGTCGGTTAGGCATATATGAAATTGAGGTTATACTTTCGGGGCCTCGGGAGACACCAATGACTGAGTGGAGACCAAGGTGACTGGGCGAGAAACCGTGCATGAAGTAGGGTAGGGAGCACGTATCCATCTTGGACACGATGTGACATACAATATGCGCAGAGCCAACGTACAGTTGATAGCGAAGTCCATATGGGGATTGAGATCGGTTTGATTAAGGGTCCTCGACCCAAAGGGCAAACCTTAGGAGTTCCCGAGGCTCTGTCCAGATATTGAAGACATGTCTGTCTGCCAGCCGATAGAGAAAAAACATAATTTCCGCGATGAGGAAGTCGAAAGGGGCGAAGAGGCGAATTTCAGTAAGCAGTTTAGAAAAAGCAGAAGATGCGGTCACAGGAACAAGTTTACTGGCCTGACGTTTCGGATTCTCGCGCGAATTCATCATCAGAGGCAGCCGCAGATAAGGACAGTGGAGGCATACGGAGTGCGGCATTTATATTACGTAGCTTCCATGGTACCACATGCGTAATATAATTAACAGTTATCGCTATCACTGCTGAGGGTCGTAATTGGTACGATGATGGCTTGTTAGTCCACATCCGAGTCGTCAATTACTGCGATTTCATCATCCGTGTTGGATGGCGTGATAATCACTCGGTCATTTAACTCGCCGTCACTGAAATTGTTGTTCGCCGGCGCTGTCCACACGTTAACGGCTGAAGAAGTTTAGTTCGACGAACGTACATTTTTGATTATTCATCCTTAGGCAAAGCAAACAATGAACAGTGGTTATGGGGAGAGGATTGAGGGCGTTCAGACATTTCAGTTCTGTCAGGGAATTTAGAAGAAGGGGGAGGAGTCTGGCAGTGCACTGTGTCGAGATCCATTTTTAAATGAATTATATATTACTTCCAAGTCCTCCGCAGAACGCCTATTGGTCAATGAGCACCAATGAAATCCAGCTGCTGAACATCACAATCTAAACTACAGAACTGATGGGAAAGCGAGTATCATAAAGACTACCCCTTAACAACCGGCGGCAATGGTGATGAGAATTACCACATTGCAGTGCAGCCTAAATAACTAATTCTTGCCCTACTAACGAACCGACGGTAGTTATGAAATCACCAAATTTAGACAGGATATGTGGATGGCAATTAGAGATGACTGCTGAAGTTTGAATAACAACGACGGAAGTGGTGTAGTAAAATGCCTGCAGAAGACGCTTAGTTATAGGTGTCGGGCGGCTAGCATAAAGCATTGGAGGCAAAAAAGGAAAAAGTGGATTAGAAAGCAGTAGCTTCAAGCAAACACCGTCAAGCACAGCGCATGGGCCTCGCGTAGGACTTACTAGTGATATAAGACAGAAGCGTCACCTGAAGGAACGTCCAAAAACTCGCAACCTCCGTTGAAGTATGAGACAAAAGCGGGCGGCAAAGCGGTCTGGATACATTCATTTGCCTCCACACGTGCTGCACAGCTCCCTTTTTCCGAGTTATACACGTAATCCTTATAAAGGGGACCTCTTGCGATGCCTACACGCAGAGAGAAGTAAACAGACGGAGGTGTTACCATCGAAGAAGTTGAGATATCCTGCATCCACTATCTCCAGCGGGCTTCCTACAGCAAACTCTGTCAGACGAGAGGCCAAATAGGCGCCGGAGCAAATACCCAGGTACTTTCCACCCGACCGTACGTAGGTCTTTAAATTGGCCAGTCCGACGTCCGTCATTGACTGGACAACTCCGCGACTGAATCCGCCGCCAACACAGAAGAGGTCACAGTCAGAAAAGCTATTTTTGATGACAAACTCGCTCTTGACTGTGAACACGGACAGCGAGGGAAGCACATCTTGGAGGCAATGCAGCAGTTGTTTTACACTTAACGCGGCGGCTCCAAAATCCGAGTAAATGGCGACTCGCATTCCTGTAAGATAAAAAAAGGAAGAGGACCAGGTTGGATGCAACGAACGTTTGTGCACTGAACTCACAAATTCATGATATATAAGTACTGGAAATGACAAAGGTTTGACTTGGCGTTAAAGGTAATGGTCGTAGAATAAGACACCGATCATACAGAGAGCTCGCAGGTAAATGCAGTTGCACGAGGTCATTAGATGGATAAAGGAAGGATTAAGCAACTTTGACATCAAAATGAATCGACGCGGTCTGATAAGAAGAGGTTCAATATTTGCTAGCCAACCGGTGTGATTCAAAAAGTTGCTAATTAGTTCCAACACATTTCGCCAAAACTAACCAACTGCTTAAGTACGCCTTCTTTCAACGCCAAGAAGCCTCCTAAGTCTAGCGGCCTGGCCTATACCCCGATTTTGGACTGCAAACGTGTGTTTGGGTGACTAGCTGAGCAGGGTTTGGAACGTGCCATCGTCGTCGAACGTGGGATAAAAGGGCCCGCCTAGTTCAAGAGCAATACTACTGCATGGCGTTCCATGCCGGCATGGTCTTACTTCGTGTGGACAAAAACTTTTCTACTTTTTCCTTAACTCTTTTCCCTTTCTAGCCGCATTTTTCATCACGAGGTAAAGAGTAGCATTAGCCGAAAATCTTGTTTGCCCGTTAAAGGACGATACTCCTTCAAGTGAACCCTATTTGAACTCCAAGCCCCTAGGACTCACAGTAGAGATTTATGCGTCCTCGGTTGCAGTTGAAAGATATTTAACACGCATTTCAACTTTTGCAGTGTGCGCAAAGGCAGTACATACTTCGAGATTATTAGACATTAACAGGAACCTGCGCCGTCAGGAAGACGACCTACAGTGGCCGATCTCAGGAAATTTTAATCAACATTCGGAAACTCGCTCTCTATCAGGGTTACTTAAGCGCGTTGTATCATTGATTATAGTGCAGCATAATCCCAAGATATTTCAGTCCCGGCAGGATACCGCCTTTGGAACCGCCCCTCATAGACTGCCTGCTTAAACTGAATTCCGTAAAAAGTGGCTACTTTAGTAGCATGCATTTTTACCATTGATTTTCGACGTCCTTATGAATTGCAATATATTTTTGGAAAACATGGTCAAAAACATACTACCTTGTACTCATTCAGTAGTAAATTACGTCTTTTTCAAATTTCGTACTCGGAGAAACGCAAATCTTAAGACCGTGAAATATCCATTCGAACAGCATCTTACCTGAAATTTTATCAGGGGCGTTTGTGAAGTAAACAACCTGGTTCATGTCCATGATAAAATTCTGGGCCCTATCTGACGTCTTGGTAATAGCTTACGGAAATAAGTGATTTGCCATACACGGTAGTATACAACGTGCATTTTGGAAAACCTAAGCGCAAGTGCGACTGCAGCCAGGACTCAAAATTATTTGGAAGATGAAAAAAACTCTAAACCCAATAGATGTCCCTTCTCCAAGTATAAAATTCTAAGAAAACGTTACCTTCTACCAAGTGGATGTAAGAAGGCATATTTTCGATTATTTTTTCCACCAAATATATTTGAGTCCATAAGAGTATCAAAAATAGATGGAGAAAAATCATACCATTTTTATACCAACGGTAAACCAGTTGAAACAGATTTGTCCTCCTGGTTTTAAAATACAAGCACTGCAAGCATAAACCCGCCAGTGTCATGTTTACATGTCTAGCAGTAAAAAAAAACTTTGCTCACATCCACAGTAGGAAAACGCTAGCCCGGCAGCGCAGAATAAGCCCTATTGGCACGGTCACCGATTTGTTTGTCGTACCTGTTAGACGAATAATAAGAGCGTATACTGTCAAGTAAAAGTGGAATAGCCTAATCAGAGACAAATGTGCAGGAAGTGCGGGCTGGGCATAAACATAGGAATAAGGCTTACGGTCAAGGAGGTATTTGTTTGTTTTTTTCACAATTACGTTTTGAAACACTCAGTCTGTGGATTACCCTCGGTTTAATAGACACTAACCAAAGAGCCTATGGATGAAATAAAAAAGAAGAATATTGTGGTCGTTTCAAATACCAATACCTGGTAAAATTAGTTCGACGGTGAGAAAACAGTTTTTCCTGCAAAGAATTACGGGGCGAAAGAGACTAGAAAGACCAGGATGGCCATTTCCGATTTGTCACCCGTTGAAATGCGGGCTTACTTAACCCTGGGTTTAGGGACCTGGGACTCAAGCACAGATTACTCAGCCATAAAGCGTCAAAAACCCGATCGTTGAGCCACGGACCCGTTGTTCTATCGGCTGCGATCGAGAATATTCAGTGCTAGAGGATGGGAGTTCACCGATCAGGTTACGGGACATGTTTGTTTCGCTGCACTATAGTGGTCAACCTAGAGTCCCCCGGGAAGCCGCACTGCGGTTAGTGATGTATGTAGAACAAGATCACCGACAAAGAAAAGGAAGACTGAGATGGCCATCTCTGGTTTGTTGGACGCCTTCAGTCGCCATTTTCAAATCCAGACCTGGATCACCTGTGATTTAGACCCAGGTTCTCCGCTCATTGAGCGTTATGCAGGACAGCGTTCTGCCATTGATTCATGGGTCCGTTGTTCTGTCCGTTATGATCAGGAATATAAACTTTGTTAGATGGGACAACGGTACGAACGCGTCCATAAACCGATCGTTGAGCCATGAACTTTATTAGATAATTGAAACCGCAGATGCCTTCGGCCCAGTCGCCTGATGACATGCCCCAAAGAGTCCCGCTTCAGTTTCACGAGATGTTAGGGGGTGCTATTGTCGAAATACTAGACAGAATCTTCCCTTCGAGTGGGCATCATTAAAACATGCTATAACAGTGTAGAATTAAAACTCGCCATGCCCACTCTGACAACCAGGACATCGAGCGCAGGATGTATCATGTAATTACTTTGAAGGTTCGCCATGCTATGGTGCTGAAGCAGCACCGGTAACATGCGCGCGAATTAGTTTACCATCAGACTGACTTACACAGCACCAGCCATACTCCCTTTTGCGCGGACGGTAAGACGACCGGGGGTAGATCTGGACTCAGTGGTTAAACAAGCCGTCTTCGCGTGCCTCACACACGGCAAGGTTCCCACTACACGTACCTGGCATCTGTGCGGAAAGTTCGAACAACGCACGCGTGTGAGTTCCGTAAAGGTCACATTAAGAAGTCATTGCAGTCTGACTCAGTCCTGAGAGGGACGGGCGACCCCGTCGGTTGGCAATCTTCCAACTCACGACGCGTAGCGCGTCATGACAGATTTATCCGTGAGTACGGGATCTCCAGCTTTAATCTCACGCTCTATTCTCTTTCCCACGCACCAGTCGACTGCTCAAGCCTGCCAACTAGCAGGTAATGGGATTGGACTTAGTGGCTGGCACGGCGTGAAGGCCTACATCAAAGGCAGTCCGCCAAACCCAGCGCGTTACACACTGCAGTTTACGGGATGCAAACCAATTACAATAGGCGTTTTGTTTAAACTGGAGACAAAATGTATTAAGCTGTGTAAAGAGGAACATTTAGAAACAGTGCTCTTCGAACAAAAGGTTGCCACCCCATGAGTACGCCCATGTACGAGAAGTAACTAGCGATTGCGCAATTCTAATAATATCGGCACATCAGATATGATTCTGGAGCGACATATCCTGTCAGTCACAATAGCTAGTAAAAATGGGGGCAGCTAGTTAGCAAAGGACGTAGCAATGATCGACCTCGAGCCCTCGCCACGTTATTGCCAATTGTTGCGCAATATTAGCCGCGAATTGACAAGGAGCGTAAGGCGGACGCGATGACAGACTGTCGCAGCACTTGCACATCAGTCTGCTGAGCCACTCTACCGAACCGTGGTGATCCCGTGCCGAAGCTGACCAAAGTGGTTTCCGTCCCGAAGGCCCCTCTTGAGCACTGACTGCCTTTGAGAAAATAAAGGATTCCCTAGCTGGTGCGTCCAGCTCCCGAAGCTGGACCGGCCCGACCATTGGCCTTCTCAAAGACACTCGCCAGCAGAGGCACGCTACAGTACCTCTAGTCCGTGAAGCATTTCCGCCATTCCCCTGAAGGTTGTGATTTCATTATTTTCACAAAGCGCCAGCCGTTGACATTTGCTCTTTGATCTCTCTCAGAGAAGCGTAACGCGACAGAGATTGCCCATCCGTACTGAATCTCACAATTCATCACCGACATCTGCCGCACCGATCGCACGAAGAGTGAGGTGGCCGATGCGCCGTCCAGACCTTCCCTCTTAACACTCTAGTTAGCATGGAATTTACATTACTACCGTGGCAACTGACAACAAGTCGGTTGTACCGACGATGGGTCAGCTGATGAACTTCAGCTCGTGGACGTCCTTATAAGTACCGATGTTGGTAAGATCCCTTGTGACGTCTCAGCACCTCATCGTCCCTTCATGTGCGCCTTGGCGCGTTTAGCTGTTTATTAATCTCTTTATGGACCCTCGTCCTAGAATCGGAGCCTTCCAAAAGCTCCGGGGTGGAAAGGTCCGTCTGGATTAGAATAAGCAAGGATGCCAAGGAAGCAAGGTCGTGTCTGAGGAATAAGGTCTCCACCAGGCATCTTCCCCAGTCCTGACACACGGTTCAGACATTTCCACCTACATTTTGTTGGCCTCTTGCGTCCGTCTGACAGCTACATATCCCCTTACCCTCATTGACCGGCACACCCGCTGGGATAAAGCAATCCCGCTGCCAAATGTGGAGGTGGATAAGTATCGTGAGGGCTTTCGACAGTCGTGGGATCGTCATTCTGTGCCCCATCCGCGGTGACGACTGACTGAGGCGCCCAGTTTGAGGTCACACCTTACCAAGCCCTCTTCATCTTTCTTGGCTGTACACGCATTCGGATGACGATCTACCGTCCAGCAGCCAACAGGATGGCCGAGAGTAACCACTACAAACCAAAGACCAATCTGCGTGCCGCGGAGGACCCAGCGAATTGGCCGTACAACCCCCTCTGGCGTGTCTTGACATTTGTGCGTCAGTCGGATATGGACTGCAGCGCAGGAGAATCGGCGTTCGGCATTAACCCCCGACCAGCAGGCATGATGGTCACCCTGATCTCTTGCGGTACCAACCACAACCCTAACAACTTTGTGAATCGCCTACGGCAATTTATGCATTCGCTGTCAACGGTTCGGCCACAAACTCCATTGATAAACTTTACTATCGAGAGGGCGTAGGCCAGTTGCATTCACACGTTTTTTCGGTGTGAAGATGTGTGTGAGCCGCTGGGATCGTCATATGAAGGACCGTTTCGGGAGCTCTCAGACGTTGTCAGCGTCGGTTGGACCAAGGCGGCTGTCACAGAGAAAACGCTGGACAAACTCCAATTACAAAAACGTGCTGGTCGCCTACTTCCTCTCTCCTACCCTCCGTCCTTCCATCCTATCTACCACCTGTCCCTCCAATTCTGCTGCTTCCAACTGCAACTGCCTCATAAACATCCAAAATCTGCATGCTAGATCCTCTCCTTCTGTACCTCTGGTTATGCCCCAAGAGGTGGACACCATATTCACATTCCTGCTTCTTAAACGTGAACGATTCCTTCGGCTTCGTTAGAGGCGGTCTTCAGTCCGCCTTTGTGGTCACCGGCGCGGCCGCTCATCCATACCGCTCCCAGTCCGCCTGACACTCCTTTCAACCGATTGTTTGAGCCGCATGACACTTGGCACTAGCCTTGCGAGCGTTCAAGGCCAATTGACATTGTTCCTCACTGATTGGCTGCGGGCGGTCAAAGGTAGACGCACACGCGTCTCGCACTGGCGACTAAAAAACCACAACAACTGTCACTTGTCTGGAGAGACGACTTGCTGCAACTGCTTGCTGCGCCACTCGTAAGTTATTTGACCTCAGTGAAGGTCGCCCAGATGACCGCTTTACCCGACTTGTGATTTGGGAATCTTCGAGTTGTCGACTATCGTACTTCGACAGATGTGCAAATTACTGCTGGGTGTGCATGGCAGCAGGCCCACGGCGTCGGTTGTCATCAAATGGAAAGCGAAACCAGTGGGCGTCCTGAGTGCAGGATAGGGGTTTTTAAAGGAAGAATATGTTTGACATGTGTTGTAAAAGACGGCTGCTTGCTCAAAAGCCACCAAAAGCTCCGGTTTTTGTCCGCCCAATTCACCATCTGCCTCCGAGGACGGAAAATATTGGCGTTGATGCCTCATTTTCCATAAAAGTGAGATCATCGGGAGAGTAGGATAAGAACGTTCTCGGGCGAACCATGTAGCACTTCATTCGTCGCGCGCTATTTAGATAG